TGTGTTTCGCTGTGTGCGTCAGTGTGTGTGGTTGTGTGTGTGTGATTGTTGTGTTTGTGGTGCCGTCAGTGTGTGTGTGTTGTGTGTGTTGTGTGTGTGTGTGTGTGTGTGCGGTGTGTGTGGTGTGTGTGTGTGTGCTTGTGTTTGTATCGCGTCAGGTGTGTGTGGGGGGGAGAGTGCGTGTGTATGGTATTGGGGTGTTATGTCTTGCCCTGTGTTACGTTCTTGCCTCTGTCCAAGTGTTTCTGTGTATCTATCAAGTGTTGTCGTGTGTAGGTTCACCCAACAATAACATGCACGGCATTTTGGCGGTCACTCCACTTGTTTTATTCAGAGCTAGTCACGCCATCTCGTGGAGCAGATACATGACATCCTCTTTCCTACAACAAGATATACAACCGTGCTTCCAAACAATTCACACAAGTGTTCAGCGTATGCCAAATAAACAAACACATTTGTTTTGTTTTTTTTAAATTCAACTACGTAACTAACCTTCATATTCTAAACCTGTAAATCACATAGCAATCTGCATTGGGTTATTAACCATGTAAATGCTTGTCTTATATAACCATAACTATCTTATCTTAACTTCAGTTGTCTTCCCCTTGTCCTTCGCCTCATTCTGTCTAATAAATCACAAAGTCGTGACAACATTATCTGATGGTCTGGAAACTCCCCTGACCTAGTGACAACTGAAGGCTTTTGAGCGGACTCACAATTTTGACTCACTGTTCGGGGGCCTATCAATTATCTATGTTGGTGGCTGGTTGAGGTTGAGCTATAGTGAGTTGAACAGTTAGGAGTTGGGATTTGGGGTGGAGTCTGTCAACACATGGGGCTTTGCCATATGCCAAACTCCAAAATCATCTCGAGGTTCATACACCTCTATCTGCGGAGTCGGTGTGGTAGGTTCCTTGTCCAGAGACTCACGTCGATTCTCCTACGTGACCCTTCACTCGGCAGCCTTATCCTGTATGATCTGCGGTGGTACATCGTTGATCTGGAATAAGCTCTCTAATTTCGCACGTCTCTTTGCTCCTCGACTCGGAATTGTGTCATATGGCTTCAGTGGTCCAACTGTTTCCACGTGTCTGTCATAATGATTTTTCGCTCTCATGTCTGGCATCCTTCAGGTTCCTGCTTACATCTTGTGCTTCTTCAACCTGTGGGTCCATCTTGCAATGTTGCGTAGGAATCGTGTTGCATGTACGTCTCGCAAACAGTCTCTGAACTGGTGATCTCCATGCTCGTCGTCTCTCGGGGTATTCCTTAATGAGTTAATAAATCGAGGTATGGGTCAGTTACGTGCGGCTGGCATTCTTCAGCATTTGCTGTGCCAGTTCCCGACTCGCCTTCTCGACCAGTCCATTCGTCGTGAAAATGGTGGGTGATATCGTTTATGGACATAATCCATCACGTATGCCGCAAACTGTCTCCATTCTCCACATTCGCATGGAGGTCCTTGTCGACTTGTAACCACGAGCGGTATTCCATGGGTGTCTGAGCCACTTCTCGGTCTCCTTGATTCACAAAGCTGATCGTCGTTGTCATCAAATTCCTCCATCTCAAATATTTCGGAGTAGTAGTCAATGTCCAAATCAGGCCATTTGCTCTGAAGACAGTCACAACAGATCATTCGTACATCGTTCCCATGGTCTTGTTTGGTATTGCATTGGCATCAGGGGTCCATTCATGCTGTTCCGCTCTGTGTTCTGAACACGTCCCATCCTGAGAAATTGTATCTTCTATCTGTTTGTTAATCCCTGGCCAGTAAATGGAGTCTTTGCAAACATGTTGTCTTACCTAATTCCTTTGATGGCAGCAATGTAACATCTCGCATGGTGTTGTACATCATGTCTGTGGTACACGTTCTTGTCATTGAAGACTAACTCCATCCACGATGTTTCATTTCATCTCGAAAGTCATGAACGCTGCGATTCTCGGATCAAAGTTTTCTCATTGTCCTCGCCATCCTTGACCGGCGATTTCACAAATGGTGGCTTCAGTAATTTCAGCTCAGAATCTGTGCCGTTTCCTGCTTCTGATCTGTTCCATCCTTGGAGAGTTGTCGTGTTGTACGCTAATTCAAGTTTCTTCCCACTCTTGTTAGAAAAAAATGTGCGAGTTTTCTCCAGTAAGGATCGGACTGGTTCGTTGACGTGCGCACGGCTCAGTGCATCTGCAACTGGAATTTCTGTTTCGCCTTCTTGTGCACTAAGGTAAAGTCGTAATCGCTTGTAGTTCTCACCTCATTCTTCTGTAAACGGAGTGGAACTTGCATGTAATGGTTCTGAAGATTCTGATCAGGGGCAAATGGTCTGTCTGCAACAGTGGACATCTGTCGTCCGTACACGTATGAGTGGAATTTCTTGAATTCAACAAATTGCCAGACATTCCTTTTTCTCAATCTGTGCACTGACGCGTATTCAGCGGTTTGTCATGCTTGACCCATAGCAGCTGTCCGCGTGATCTTGCCAACAGACACATCTATTCCGGATGACTGCGTCTGCTGAAATCGTTAACTGGCCTCTTCCCGGCCTGTAAGTATCGGTATACTGTGTAGCACCGGTTAACAGCTTCTTGACTGACTGAGCGTCTTCATGGATCTTGTCAAAATGCCATTCGAGATCTATGTTCCTTGATCTCACACAACACACACACACACACACACACACACACACACACACACACACACACACACACACAAACAACACACACAGCTAAGCTTTCGTCCTCAAAGTTAATATTGAAGGAATGGTGCATGATTAGGCCCTATTCAAAGTTCCCAGCCTCTCAGGTTGTCTGCAAAATTAGCCCAACTGCGAGCATTTGGCATTGCAGAAGGTTGTTACAATTTTATTTAGACACCCGTTGTAGCAATGCACATTATCATCTGCAGAAAAAGGCACGAGCGCGTTATTTGTATGCAACCCAAAGCACCCCATAATAATATATAATAATATAAAATAATATAATATAAGTAATATTATATGCGACATTTGCCTATATACTACACGCGCATTGGCGTCTCAAAAAGTCGAGATTTGATTAAATGATAAATTTACATGTTCTCAAACTCACAGTACCTGCATGTAGATATCCACATGTCTATGCCGCAGTGTCAGTGATGGTACAAGTTCAACTCGTCTGTAAAATAATCTTGCCACCGGTGCGCAAGTAAACGTCGAGGTAAAACATGGCGCCACGACTCATGATAGCACATAACCAGCCAGTTTCACATTCATAACAATTGTATGTTTATACGTAACACATATAAACTAGTAGTAGTAGGTCTCAGGGGAAAGATAGTAAATATAGAAATAAGTTGTGGATATAGAAATCAGTTAACCCTAACCCTAATCCTAACCCTATCCCTAATTCTAAAATAAAACAAAATTACCCAAAAATAATAAATAATAAAATAAACAAGAGACAAAATTAGCCAATCAGAGCCGTCCCCTAGCGGATCACGAGCTCTCCCCTGTGCAAAATTTCATATTTCCAAGCAAAATTCCATATTTCACCTGCCAATCTAACATTATCCTATAACGGATCAATAACTGAATAAGAAGTTATATTTTATAATAAAAGATAATTTTATTTTTATTTTTCTACAATGTAAATAAAGAGATTAAAGTAAACAGTCTGCTTTACCCATATCATAAGCGGACCTTATGACATGTTGACTGGAGAAAAGTCAGAAACTGGCGATCGACGAAAATTCCAAACTTTATAGTCGCAGTAGGCCTATCTGTGATCGTCCAGTATTAATCATCCTGTAGCATGACTATGTTGTGTCTGTAAGCAACTTCAGGTAAACTATTGTGAAACATGAATTATTTTAGTTACATACTTAACACTAACATCTGACTCGAGTGGCACCGACCATGATCCTGCCTGGCAATCACAAATTCATTGTTGTAATTACTTGTAGTTGTACTTGTAACTTCAGTCTAGGCCTACTAGTACTACTACTAGTACTAGCTCAGTAGCTGCCTAGACTCAATCCTTGTTTGGGACCCCGGCACGCATATGTGCTAAACTAATCCGGTGTGCTAAACTGGGATTGGGCCCCGTTTACAACCACACAAGCACTTGGACCGTTTCAGTAATAAGGTTATGGTAAATAAACGAAAATTGAGTTGTGGTATAATGCTCCTCTAGGCCTACAACACTGCGTCAGTATATCTCTACCAGTGTAGCCCCTTCACTACGGGGCTATACTACAGCCTATGTCTATGATTTGAGAAAAAAAATTTACAGCATGGCCTTAAACTCTGTAGTCCGTGATATAATAAAAAATCGTCCTAGCCAGGAAAATAAACATTTATTCTATAACCGGCCAGCCAGAAATTCACATTTAAATCATCATAACATGACAAAGTTGTCCCCTTTATTGAAAGCAAATGATCATACAACCAAAACACACGACCATATAATATATAACTTGAAACGATTGTGGCACTGCTGTACTCGTGATTTGGCACCCTGCATTTTTGCAGAGAGGGTGGATAGTCTTACACCACAACCACATACGTTGGTGTTACGTTATTTATTAGTAGCTGTAATGAGCAGGTGAGTCAACTGCTCAGTGATCACATTATGAGTGAAACACAACAAGCTATACATAATCATTACAGTAATACATTTGGAAAGTAAATGAGCAAAATAATTAAAGTAATTTGCTGGGAAAAGTGCCAATTCTTAGTATAACACTGACAAATATTTATACTACTCCACATTATGTTGTGTGTAAGTGCAAACCTTGAAGATGTTAATGATTTTGCAATCAGTCTGAATGGTTTCTGTAGTTCACATTGCTATGAAGCAGTGATGCTGGAGGGAAGACCATCCACCCTTCCTCAAAAACGACAGTGCCACAATCGTTTCAGTTAAAGTATTGATGTGTGTTTTAGTCGTGTGATCATTTGTGTTCAATAAAGGGGCTAATTTGCTCATGTGTTATGGTGATTTAAATATAAATTTTTGGCTGGCTGTTTAAAGAATAATGGTTTATTTTGTCCACTAGAGTGATTTTTCATTGTGTCATGTGAACTGCAGCGTTGCCGCTCATACTGTAAATAATCTTCTCAAATTGTATTTATATCGTGTACTATAGCCTGTAGCGTGAGCATAGGGGCATACTTGTAGAGCTAGCACCAATACTGCTAGAATAAATAATCTTACCATCACTGTGGACCAAATGACAAAAGGTCTAGTAGCTAGGAAAGCTTGAGCGCCAAATTTGCACTCTGCTCACTTTGTTCTACACCCTCACAGACAACTGCGCAACCATTTGCTTACACTTTGGTGTCTCTGCGTAGGTGATTGTTGACTTGTTCAGAAAACTCATTTGCCTCAGTTTTGTAAACCACAACAACTGATGTGTTTTATCCAAAAATGTATATCTCGATTCTTTGGCCAATGACTATAGTAGTGATGTTTGTGATGTCATATGTGTGCAAGTGTGGCAGAGCTCATATTGGAACTCGGAAGCAGGTAATGCATGTAATGATTAGAAGCACACCTAGAATGTAATGTGCTGGCATTACTCGTCCACAAAAAGGCAGTTGATTTTGGTTATAAAACTGCAGGGATTTTACAAGATTTTTCTCAGTGAATTAAGTTTAAAGTGTCTACGTCACGAATCTCCAGAAATTATTTAAAAAAATATAGTTGAAACCTTATTTTTGTAATTTTTTTGCATCAAAAGTTAGTACTGACGTTACTAAATATATCCTC